TACAGGACAAAACACTTGCTTTTTGCGCTAAAGGTAAAATGCTCCACATACGCTACACTTAAAACTATATTTTATAAACTATAATAATTATAAGTTTTAACTTATAATTATTTATAATTATTAATTATAATAATTTAATATTTTTTTCAAAATTAGTTATTTCAATCTAAAAGAAACAGTTATTCATAATTTTAATTTCTTTAATTAAAAATATTAATATTGACAATCTTAAATATATCAATATAATTTGTTTAAGTGGGGACTTCAAGTATGCTAATTAATAAGTGCAGTCAATATTTGAAATTACGAAATCACACACAAAACATACTTTCTCTGAATAAGCATACATTTTTTAAATGAATATTGATTTCCGGCCCTCAAAAGATGAGAAGTTGCCCACTATCTGGGAAATATGGTCTTATTAGGATGGTCAGGAAATCGATTCAATATTTAGACGTCTTAATGTTAATTTCACTTTTTGGCGTACTTCGCCATTTCAAGAGTTTTTATAACAAATAGAAAATTTTTTGCGCGTACTTCCATTTTTTTCAGTGCGTGAAAAACCGAAGAATAAATAAAGTTATTCAGGCTGATTTTTTTTCGCACTGTACTAATACAAGTACTTTGTTAGCACGTTTATTTCAACCCATTGAAGCAAATAAGTACCAATAAATTTAATGAAGACTTAGTGATGACTACAGACCCTAAATTTTTTGCTTCAGTTTTCTGGTTAAATTAATTTTTTCTAACAAATAAAAGGAATCAGAAAAAATATAACTAAAACATAATAAGAAAAAATATAATAAGAATTATAATAAATAGAATTAGAACAGCAGAATGGCTTTTAAATAATGGTGCAAAAAATAATCTTTTCATCACTGATTCTTACCTCTTTTTATATAACAGCCCTCACTTACTAATTCTACTAATTACTAATTAAAATAGAACATCAGTTTTTTATGCAATTAATAGAAAATCTGAAATTCTTTCGATATTTCGTTATTATCGGGAATATTACTCCAAGTGGCAGTACTGCTAGAAAACATGTTTTTACTGGGTTAGAAATCAATATAAATTTAAAGCTAAGGAAAGATATCAAGATAAATATTCAAAATAAATAAAAAATAAAAAATGTTCATTTCAATATTTTATAATTATTGGGACAATTAGCCTAATTGACAGTAATCCTAAATAAAATGCATTTACCGAGAAAAGCGTCTCTAACTTCGACAGTGGGTTCTTCAAGGGGTTAAGTAGAACAACCAAAAAGTTTTGTTTTGATATTTTGTAAATGCGAGGATAGAAAGGCGAGAAGTGCTAAATCTGTTACATGTACAAAGTAATTTAGGGGATAATTTCTCTTATTACTTTAAACAAGTAATATATAAAAAAAAGTTTAAAGTTAATTCCTACTTAGATCAACAAAGAAGATTTTTATTTTAGTTACTTTTTATTAAATATTTAAAATTTTTTCTTCCCTATGAAACTGTATTTTATAAAGTTTTATAATATNTGGAATTCTAAAATAAATAACTGCGTTCTATCAAAACAAACATTTTATTATAAAACTTTAGAACAACTATCTTTTTACATTGCCACTCAAAATTATTAATAAACACTGGATAATATTGCGTTAATGAAACTTTTATCTAATGACGTCATGAACAATCGTTTGCATAAAGTTTCGTTGATAATAATCATATATAATCGCTCGTATAAATAATCGTTTGGTCTTTTTATAGCTTTACGTAACGTGTGAGATTTATTTTTTTTTCTTTTGGAAAGGCGATGTTATAATTTTGTTGTTGAAAATCTTCCTTTTAATAAACGTAATAGTAGAGTTTTCTTAATTATTCTTATTTATCCTCTGCGTTTTATTTGAGGTCAGTTTGTATTTTGTATTTTTTGACAGCATTATTAAAAATTATCACCTTTCAAACACTCATGCGTTCTCAATTTTGATTGGCTGTTTTGTGCGTAACTAACCAGAAGTCTTCTGTGATTGGCTATGTGTTATCATTCCACTCTCTTCTTATATATAAAGATATAGGAAGAGTGTGAACTAATAGTAAGGATTGAAAAAAAAAGCGCGTGGTATCAGACTACCACAAAAGTATACATTTGGTGACGTGGACCACACGTGAAACCATGTAATGTTCTCAGTTAAATTTATCTCACACAGTGACTAAAAAATAATTAAATACTTATATGTGCTCAATAAACTATTTTTTTCCAAATAGTTATGAAATATAAGTTAGAAATTATCACTTATGTTATCTTTAAAATATGTAAAAACTGAATCGCTTGTAGTAAAGTTAAAACGCTTAACCCATCTGAAAATTCCATTTCGTTTTTCGCTCATCCCTATTTAATCAATGAATTATTATTAAAAAAAACTGTGTTAAAATCAAGTATCATCCACTACACGTTTAAAAGAATGTATTTGAACTTAAATGGATAAATAAAAAGTATTTTATTGAAAATTTGAGCGAGATATAGGGAGAGTTAACTAATAGTAAAATAAGCCATATAAATCAAATAAACCATTAAAGAGGATCAATTTTTTAAATTTCTTTTTAGATATCTCAGCTCTCAGCATCACTTTTGTTTTTCTCAAACAATAAAAATATTTGTCTATAACTTTCTATACAAGCAGTATGTTAGAAAGAGGGAGGCTCTTACATGGAATCATCCAAACAATATCGAGAAAGATCCGAGAAGTTCTCACCTTAATCAGCGTTTGATCAAAATTGTATCTAAATATTTTTATTATTTGCAGAAAGAGTAAGATAACTGTAATCTGGAATATTCAGAAAATAAATTGAAAAATTGTAAGAGAAAATTACAGAAGAATATCATTTGTAATGATTTTTTTTTTTTACAAATTGAGAAAGAAATTTCTCTAGAATCTCCTGTTTTGCTACAATGGTTTATACATCAAATTTTTTCTCTTTAGCTTTTATAAAGTACAATAACTCTTTAACTTCCTTCAAATGAACATTGTAGAAAAAAACGTGAAAAAAGTGACAACATGAGAGATGGGATAGTCTCGAAAACACTCGTAGAAAGAAAAAAAGCAGGTGGTGGGGTTATAATTGCATTCAAGATTACGTAAGGATTCTTCACGTAAGGATCAGCACAAATGGTTTAAATAAATATATATATATTTTATTTACTATGCATAAATTGCAAGTTTATGGAACTCATGAAATAAGTTAAAAATATAGAGAAAACATGGAAAATAATAAAGAAAAGAGAAGAAGAAATTAAAAAAAAAACTGATTTTTCCTGAAAGATATAATCGTGTGAGCTGATGCAGATATATCTTTTCCTTACTTTTATTCGGCCTTTTTGTCATATTTTTTTCTTCTATTTTCATTAATTTGCATTATTTTACATGTTTCCTCTATATTTTTAAGTAATATTATGAGTTTATATATATATATATATATATATATATATATTGTGTGTGTGTGTACACATGTATGATTTTTCTACGTTAGTGCTAAGTATTGGAGATAAAGCGATTCTTATAAAGATATGACCAAGATTGGAGTTTCGAAAACTTATTTCGCATATTAGCCGCTTTACTAAGACTAGCTGCTTTGTTTTTAATTTTCCATTAAGGAATACAAACTCTGAGCCTAAGCACAGTTGCCTTTATCTGCAATGCTTTAAGTATTTATTTTACTTCAAGTGCATGCCAATTTGCATTTTCTTATTGCTTAATTAAAAACAGGAAAAAATAAATGCAGCCTTTAATCTCTTTTCTAACAAATATCGCATAGTAGCATTTAACCATGGCAATGATACTGTAAATTTTTAAATGCATTATATTCTCCGGAAATCTGACTTAACTTACTGGCTAATCCATAAAGCACTTGCTGGATTAGTTTGTTTTTAACGAATTGACTTTACCTACTATAATCTCTAAGCAGTCTGAAAAATAATTGAATTCAAAATTATCGCTTATGTAAAGATTTAAATTAAAACTTATCTAACATATACAGTTTTTTAAATACAACTCAATAGGGAAATTTAGATGCAATGCTTTAAATCTTTGCACTCTGGGGTTCTTATTACAGTTAAAGAAACGAACGCTACCACACCATGCCAAATCCCATTGCTGACACAATTAATCATGTAAGGCCATTAAATAAAGTGGTTAGTAAACATTCAGAATGTTAGATAATATATTGTTCTAGAGAAATCCATTTGAATGAAGGGGATTCTGACGTGAACATTGCAAAGAATAAACTTATCTGTTTGATTTTCATTGTAGTTATTAGTTGAAGTGAAAATTACCTATTTAAAAGCTGTTTATAATTTTGCTACAGTGTTTGCTTAAAGTATTCATTAAAATGTCATGTAATTTATAATTGCTAATTAATACACAAACAAATTAATTCAGTAATTTGATGGCGGTCGATCGCGAACTAACAATTTAAAGTAACATTAAATACCTTTAACACAAGAAAGACTGAAACTTAGTATATACCTATATTGCCCAAGAGCAGACAAAATGGCTGGATTGTGAAAGAATAACTAATGTGTTGAGAAATTTGGTCAAAATTAATTTTTAATATTTTTTAATGTTATTTACAGTTATATAACATGTTATTAGTAAATATTAACAATAAAAAAATTATATGTTATGCAAAACGTCACAAAATTCTAAGAAATTGTGCCATTATTGTTTTTCCAATTTAAATTAAAAAGCAGTCGAAATGACTTCCTCGTGACTTCCGTTTATTGGAAGTTAAATCATTATTATTTCTAAAATCTTTATCTCAACAAAAAAATGATCTCTCCTCCTCCTCCTCAAAAAAGGAAAAAAAAGACAAGAAAAGAAAAAGAAAAAAAAAGAACACACCTGTTTGGACTTTTTAAATTCGTTCACTTCTTTACTTTATTTTCTTCGCCAACTTGACTCCTAAATCCATTAATAAAGTTGGAAAAAGAAATCATTGAAAAAGGAAATGTTTCGATTGGATATTTACCTTTGAATTCCAGCGAATCGAAGGAGTTAGCGAGAGCCGCTCTCAGGATGCAGAAGAGCAAAAAGAACACGTGGTGTGTCATGGAGATGGGACGCTCACTTCCATGGGAGGATGGAGAGCAGATTGAGGGATCGTCAGAGGCAGGGACGAGGATGACTGAATAGTCATTTAGACAACACGAGGCCCATCTTCACGTGCGCTAGAGGGCACTCAAGTCGATTTACCCTCTCTATTTTATTTTATTATTTTTTTTTTATTTCTTTGACCAATCAATAGGCCACAATCCCATTCGTGTTGCGTATACTCATTAATTACATTCATGGTATGTCGGATTGAGTGAAGGCGGCAGGGAAGGGCAGATGAGAAACAAAAGAATTCGAAAACAAGAACACTTTCTGAATGGTCGTCGGGTGTAACATTAAGAGCTTAGCTTTCCCCTGCTTCAGAATCTTAATACCCGGGCGTGAAATAAGAAAGTGAAACGGTGGTCATAAAAATTGGATTAGAAAAGTACCTTTTTGAAAAGAGTAGGACTCGGCAATATTGAAATGAAGGAGCTTCCGAAAGCGTTTAAGTCCGCGCATAAGAGAATAATGTTATTAATTTGAGGAAAAATGAGAGATTACGTTTAAAAGAGGGATTTTGCGATTAAATGACGTGAGATTTATTCTAATCGAAATAAATGAAATTATTTGCATCGCAAGGCTACTGATTGACATAAGTGCCGCTAAACGTAGGACTCAAGTCAATTTAAATAAAGGGGATGTCAGATAATAAAGTGAATAATTAATGATGAATTTTATTTTTTCATTTTATAACCGTCATTGTACAGCCGACCCAATTTTTAGGTTTACGAACACTAATGCTCAAAACGTTCATAACGTTTTTTGAAGTTACGAAATCAGATCCCAAAACGTATTTTCTCTGACGTAGTTTTTCGACAGATTTTGATTTCTAACATTTAAAATATGAAAGGTAGACACAATTTTATAACCATTGTTGAGCAGTTGATCCAATGTTTTGGGTTTACGACTGCTAATGTTCAATTCATATCGACCAGCCATCGCTGGAAATCGAACCTGGTTCACCTCATTGAAAGACGAACGATCTATCCTCTCTGTCACTCTGACTCAGGTAGCTACAGTTTTTTTCATAACAGTCACTGAACAGCCGACCCAATTTTTTGGGGTTTACAACAACTAGCGTTCAACTCCGTAGCTTTGTAATTTTGAACTCGATCCAGAAGACAAGGGAACCCCTGGATCAAGTATTGGGAGAAATTTGCTTTCGTAGAGGACTTTTCGATGGACCTAACCTGCATTCGCGTTACATGGACAGGAAAACCACGAAAACCTCTCATGGTTAGCTTGAGGCAATGGCAATCTAACCCATGTTCCGTCTACCACTAAGGATATTTTTACGTCAGCACTGTGAGTGGTTCAAGCCGGATGCGGAATTCGTATCATTCTGGCATCACTGTGATTCGAACCCGTTTCACCTCGTTGGAAGAAGAACGTTCTATCCCCAGAACCAATATTGATGAATGGAACGATCGAGGGCACATATTAAGGAATCGTTCGTATGATTACAAAATATTTAACTATACATTTAAATCTAAATACAGTCAATTCTCGATATAACGACCGTCTTATTCCGAGAGGAAACGGGCATTAAATCGTAAGGTCGTTTTTATCTTAGTGCTGAAAATTAACTTAATCATTAACAAGAAATTAATCGATCCATTTTAACAAGGCAATGTTTTACTATTATTAAAATTTTGTAACCAACAAAAAAATCTTTAGACAACTCAATTTCTTAGACTTAAAATAAAAAGGGAAAAGTTCATTAAAAATAATATGTTAGTTCTGCCATTTTCGAGAAGTAACACAAGTCAAGTCATCTGTAAAAATCACATGTTTTGACACTAAAATAATCCACATTGTGACATTTCATAAAAGAAGTGTGAACACAACTTTAAAATAAGAATAAATTTGTGGTACCCATTGAAAAGATTATGGATTACCATAAATCATGTCCCCTTAAGAATTTAAGGGATCAAGAGTCACTCATCCTTCAATTGAGGTGTTAATTTCGGTTTTTCATTTATTAAAAATAGTTACTTTTAAATAACTTTTAAATTTAAATTTTAACTATATTTCGGTCACTGTATTTGGAAGGAGCTGTTCTTTGTGGACTTTCTAATGGATATTAATATAACATTGCGTTTGTGAACTAGCGAACATGACGTTATGCATCGGTAATTATAACTAGAAGGATGCTGTAATGGGGTCATACTATATGTATGGGTTTTTACCCATTTTCAAAATGGGTGTTTTGGGTTTGGTGGCGTGCGCACCTTTTTTTGGACGTTATCACACTTATCAGCTGTGTTCAAGAGTAATAGTTAAAAGTGCGCATGCGTCGTTATTGCATTCGTTGCTATGGTGAACATTACTTACTTACTTATCCTCTACGTGCCTTGGGCACTTAAGGCGTCTAGCATATCCCTCCAACGTCTCCTGTCTTTAGCACTAAATCTTGCTTCCTCCCAGCCAGATATTCTACATTCTTTTAATTCGCCCAAAAACATGCGCTGGATGGTAAGTCTGGGTCTTCCTCTTGTTCTTTTACCATCAGGGGCCCATNTTTTACAGTGTTGAGCATTATCATGTATGTCTTTACAATTTAAAAACTCCTTGAAAAAGTTTTTTTTTGCAATAACGGACCCTATTTGCACAAATTCATAAAAGCGGACCCTGCTTGAAAGAATGTGAGTAATTTTTTCACAATTTCACGAAAAACGGACAGACCCCTGTAAATCAAAAATCGTCAAATAAATTCGTGAAAAAAGCGCTTTCGACAAAATTCTAAAATAGAGATCTATCGACAACGACTCTCACTTCTGCCTAGCTTAATAGTATGAGATTGCCGCAGCTGATGCTCTCTGGTTATTTCAGTTTCCGTTTTTAAAAGCACAAAATGTTGAGCCACCTCAGCTAGATTTAGCATGTGACATTTTTAGCGGCAGTCATTGGTCGATTCGCCGTGTAAGAGAAATAGTAACGTAAACAAAACAAAGCAAACGTTGCCACCGGCGGAAAAGAAATACAGCCAAAATTTGGGAGCCACGTAAGAGAATTATATATCTTAGATTTTGCAACTAACAAAAAAATCTTTAGACAACGAAATTTCTTTGACTTAAAATAAAAAAGGAAAAGTTCATTAAAAATAACATGTTAATTCTGCCATTTTCGAGAAGTAACACAAGTTAAGTCATCTGTAAAAATCACATGTTTTGACACTAAAATAACCCACATTGTGACATTTCATAAAAGAAGTGTGAACACAACTTTCAAATAAGAATAAATTTGTCGTATCCATTGAAAAGATAATGGATTACCATAAATCGTGTCCCCTTATGAATTTAAGGGATCAAGAGTCACTCATCCTTCAATTGAGGTGTTTTTCATTTCGGTGTTAATTTCGGTTTTTCATTTATTAAAAATAGTTTCTTTTAAATAACTTTTAAATTTAAATTTTATCTATATTTCGGTCACTGTATTTGGAAGGAGCTGTTCTTTGTGGACTTTCTAGTGGATATTAATATAACATTGCGTTTGTGAACTAGCGAAGATGACGTTATGCATGTTAATTATAACTAGACGTTAACTAGTTATAATTAACATGACGTATGTTAATTATAACTAGAAGGATGCTGTAATGGGGTCATACTGTATGTATGGGTTTTTACCCATTTTCAAAATGGGTGTTTCGGGTTTGATGGCGTGCGCATCTTTTTTTTTTGGACGTTATCACACTTATCAGCTGTGTTCAAGAGTAATAGTTAAAAGTGCGCATGCGTCGTTATTGCATTCGTTGCTATGGCGAACATTACTTACTTATCCTCTACGTGCCTTGGGCACTTAAGGCCTCTAGCATATCCCTTCAACGCCTCCTGTCTTTAGCACTAGATCTTGCTTCCTCCCAGCCAGATATTCTACATTCTTTTAATTCGCCCAAAAACATGCGCTGGATGGTAAGTCTGGGTCTTCCTCTTGTTCTTTTACCATCAGGGGCCCATGTAAGCGCAACAGATGATATTTTTTCTTTGGGCATTCTAAGGATATGCCCGAGCCAGCTCCATCTTCGTTTTTTAATTTCATCTTCGATTGTTTTTATTTTAGCTTTCTTTAATAGATTTTGATTTGATACTTTGTAAGGCCAGAAAATTTTAAAAATAAATCTTAAACATTTGTTTTGAAAGGTTTCTAATTTTTGTATTTCGATCTTAGTCTGTTTCCAGGTTTCTGCGCCATATAATAGTACTGCTCTAACAATAGCTTTGTAAACAACTATTTTTGTCTTTATTTCAATATTTGACTCTCTCCAAAATTTATGTAATCCCTTAAAACATGTTCTTGCTTTGATTATTCTCTGTCTAATATCTTCACTACTTCCACCTTTTTTATCTACAATAGAACCTAAATAGCTAAATGACTCTATGTCATCTATTTCGTGATTTTCGATTTTAATTTTGTCATTTTTCTTTTGATTTATTCTCATTACTTTAGTTTTCTTCTTGTTCATGAATAAACCTACACTATTTGAATATTTGTTGAATTTGTCTGTTTTAAGTTGAAGGTCTGTACATTTGGATGAAATAAGTACGATGTCATCAGCAAAATCAAGGTCTTCTAAAGTAGTTGTGAAATTCCACCTTATTCCTCTTTTTTCATCTTTCAAGCTGTTGCGCATTATCCAGTCTATCACCAGTATAAATAAAAATACCGATAAAACACATCCCTGTCTCACGCCAGTTTTTACTAAAAAGAATTCAGTTAATTCTCCATTTACTTCTATACATGCTTTGCTGTTATCATACATATCTTTGATTATGATAATATATTTCTCTGGTATATTATAAAGTGATAAAATTTCCCATAATTTCTCTCTCTTAACTGAATCAAAGGCTTTACTGAAATCAATAAAGTTTAAATATAAAGAGGTGTTAAATTCTAAGCTTTGCTCAATGATATTTCTAAGTGTGAAGATTTGCTGCATTGTTTCATTTCCACTGCGGCAAACATGCTTGTTCTTCTCTTAAAATTCCATAAATTTCATGTTTTAGTCTATTCA